GCTAAGTTAGACGAACCCTCAAAATGTAGGCAAAGAAATTAGGTAACTCAAACACAAGAGAGAAGAGAGCTTAAATGATAGAGCTTGAAAGTTTTATTGATTTTCTTGCTTTACTTCGTTGTTTACAAATGAGAGGTGTAGGGGGTATTTATAAGCCTCTCCCTTCTTCCAAAACATTTTCACCTTCTTAATGGATGGTGGAGATCAATCCAATCCTACGAATTACATTCATTCTCTAAAATATTTTATAGAAAAATATGCAAGAAATATCTTCAAGAAATATCTAGATATTTACAAAGATATTTCTAGAGACCTTTTTTCAAGATATTTGTGGAACACTTTAGAACATCCTAAAATGCCCTAAAATATTCTAGATGTCTCCATGTTTCTCCATAAGTTTCTAAACCTTCTATATTTTCTCAGACATTTCTACATTGTTCTAAATGCTTCTAGAACATACTAAATTCTTAAATGTCCTGGACTCTCCTGGAATTCTCTACATCATCCTAAACGTCTTTAAAAACACCGTAACCTCATAGGTTCTTCTCTTTTTTAAACACAAGTTGTGACATACAGGTGACATGAATCGAGGACTACAGCATTAAATCTAGTTGAGAAAATGAAAGAATATACATTACAAATAGATGCTAATGTACGATAAGCTGACCACTTTGAACAATATGTGACTTGTCTCCATCCACTAATATTGCTATGGCTATAATTCCACGTAATTTAAATGCTAAACTACAATATGCAAAAAGTAATTAGGGAGTGTAAAAGGATGTTCAATCTGCATTAAATAATAGATGAGGGAACTACATCTCCAAACAAAAGATCTTCTAGCTTGAAAACAGAATCACTGTTATGGGTTCGGCTTTATACAAGTGTATTTTAAATATTATACAAAAAGCAATAGATAAAAAATGGAGTAAAAATGGATAAGAGATACATTACCATCTAATCCTCTATAGAGACCTTTTGTAGACTACAGGTTTCATCAATGTAGGTGGCCTTCTTTAAAACTAAATTAGTGGTTGCAAAAAGGAAGAAGTAAGGAAGAACAAACTTGGATGAGATACTAAATACTTTTGACAAGTTGTAAGTTGACCCATTAGACTGCTATTACCTCAGCTTTATGGACAATAAAATTAAATTGTTTCATACAGATGGTAATTGAAAAAAAAAAAAGTTTACAAAGGCATGTACACTATGCCTTGATTAATAGATGAAGGGCCTAACAGCTCTAAAGAATGAACAAATACATTGAAATAAGTTTGAAGGCAACGGATTCAGCTTTTTGAAAATAGAATTCGAAGTGTAAAGCAAAAATCCAATTCAAGTTTTATTTTTGAAAGGCTACATTCTTTTTTTTCAAAACCAGTGGTTGTCTAATCGGACCAATGGACAAAAAGGAAGAACTCCCAAGTACGCAGCTATGAAGTTAGCTAATAAGATTTACCCAAATAAGTAAAATCTGACCGTTTAAAAAACTTGTTGGAGGAAATCACGAAGTAAGTATATTTATCATTTTAAATGAAAGGGCATAAGGTTAGCTTTTAAATATCAACCCAGTCTTGTAGCTTATAACCAATTATAATTTTGAAATAAAGTCTAAAATTATAAATTTATCTTAACAGAAAAAAGTTATTAATATGTTATAATTAATTTTCAATTTTACGCTCTCATTTTAAATCAAAGGGATTTTTTTCTTGCTAGAAAAAATGAAAGGGCTTAAGGTCAGCTTATAAAGAATTACCCAATCTCATAGATTGCATAAGATTATAGTTTTGAAATAAATTTTTAAATTAGAAACTTATCTTAACATAAATAATTAGGTTTTGTAATAATTAATTTTCAATTTTATGTGCTTAAGCTGAACACGACGGGTTAAAGGACCTATACCGTATTACAAAAAAATAGATAGGAAAAATATATTTTCTATGTATTCTTGTGAACTCAAGTGTTCAATGGTTCTAAAAATACATCAGCATCATTGCTACAATAAACCTATCATGAAAATAGATCACACCAACAACAACCACAAAATAAACAGCCAAGCTAACAAAATATACTGAAAAACATGCATTATATTTACTATTAAAGAGTCAAACACATAACACAGAAAACAATTAAAACAAACAAATGAAACATCACATAGGTGCATGCATAATGTAAAAAACACAGCATTATAATTTCCACCGACAGTTCGCAACAAGGAGAAAGAAAGAAACAATCCAATGAAGGCTCCTACGTCAGATCATCATGCAACAGGGTGAACGCTAATGACCCTGTCTTGCAAAGACCTCGTTTTTTTTTGGATCAAATCTGAAATTCATTCGAGAAACTGAAACAGAACACTACAAAAGAGCTAAAACAAGAGCAAAGAGAGTAACCTCAATCATCATTCACCTCCTAGTCTAATATTAGGTGGGGAATGATTAAAGGTGCCAAAAGAGCTCTTCATAAAATGAGCTTCCCTTGCAAGGGCGTGGGCATGACTAATAACATTCCTAAAAGCAAAATTAATGAAAACAATCCAATATCTATATAGAATATTACAAACATTTTGAATAATATTATTGTGTCTTCTCATGAAAAGGTTAATTGCTTCCACATTGTCGAAGTAAACTTCAACATTTTTAAACCCTTTAGACCAACATAGGCCAAGCCCTTCAGAAATTCCAAGGACTTCCGCAATGATGGATGGGTAGGTCTCAAGTTTGCAGTTGAAACCCACTACCTAGCCCCCTTGATCATTGGTAATAATTCCACCGCAAGTTGTAGGACTGTTTATGCAAGAGCCATCGACATCCAACCTTATCGCACCTTGTGATGGTGGGCTCCATGATTAAGCATAGTTAGAAATAGAGTGGGCTACTTTGAGTTTGCCCAACCATCTAGAATCAGCTGAGGCTATTATAATACACCTGTTACGGTTAGGTTGAGATAGTCATACCTGTTTATTGATCAAAGGCATTTTTACAACATGTAGTCCAAAGGTCCCAGCGCATATAAGCAAAGGCTATCAGCCATGGTAGATGTATGTTGGAGTAGGAACCTGATGGATTGATAGAGTTCCATCTAAATGTTAAATATTATAAATATTTATGATTATTTTAATTTAAACAATGATTACTTTTATTCTATCAAAGATTAAAGCAAAACAATCAATTACAAATTTTTCATAAAGGGAGATTTTTTAGTAATTTTTTAAAAAATTATTTTTTAAAAAGTCTGTAGGGACTTAAGAAGAATTATAATATTTTGAGAAATCTCTTTATTATTTTTATATTTTAAGAGAATTTTTCTGTCATTTTCCCATTAAAAAACTGATTACATCATTGAAGTTGTCTGAAAATTGTTTTGATTTCTATTTCCATGACTGATAAATAACATAATTTTTTTAAAAATATTTTTTATCTCTTTGAAATAGAAAGGAATGGTATATTAAATTTCAAATTTTTTAAGAAGATGTCTTATAATGATAATTAATGATTATCTACAGGTGTGTATTGATAATAACTTCAATCTTGGCTTTCATTAACACATTTTGTGAACGTTAGCACATTGATCCGCTCAAGTATGATGATCGTCCTTCTCCTAGTCATAGAAGAACTCAGGAGAGCTCAGAAGCTAAGTGCCCAGAGAACAACTTGAAATGTTATCAGTTCTTTTTGGTTTTGTACTCTGGTAATTCCAATTTGATCTTGAATCTCGCGACACATGCTGCCCATGGAAGAAAATTAAAGGGGGATTTTTTTTTTAAATTCCCCCTATTTCTATTTATATTTTGCAAAATAATAAATAGTAATATGAAAATTTTCGAAAAAGTAACTTAAAAATGCTGTCTTAAATTGTCAATCTCCCTTATATTTTTTTGTGTTAGTGAGGGGGGGGAAGATCTTAGTCACCCTTATATATATATATATATATATATATATTATATTGGCGCATAAATGATAGGGAGAATTAAAAAGACCCTTGATAATATTTAATGACATTCAAAGCTCTTAAATTTTTAAAATTTTACTGTATTTTAGAGATACTAATTTGATATTAAATTTTTTAGAAAAATGACATAATTGCTCCTCCTTTGAATTAATATTAGAATTTTTTTACTTCACTTATTCATTTACTTACAGAATGTTGTTAATTGCCCTACTTAACTTGTTTATTTCCTTGGAATGAAATCAAGTTAAAGTCTAGTAATAAACAAATGAAAAAGGACAATTAACAAATAAAGTAGAATAATTAACAATAATCTGTAAATAATGAACAACATACAATATAAGAATCAACAAGTTGTTTTAAGATAATTTAAATATTTAAAATGAAAACAAGTGAAGTAGATCAATTAACAATATTTGGTAAGTAAATGAATAAATAAAGTAAGATAATTAATAGGTGAAGTAGAAAAATCCTGGTACACAGCTCTCAAAAATTTTTGGAAGTCTATGCGGACAAAGGAATATGTTTTGAGAGTAAATGCTTAAAATGTCCTTCATTTTTTAACATATGAAATAGACTTGTTAAAACCACCTATCATTTCACAGGCTGTATTTGTTGATTTACTAGAAAATTATATATATTCAATCTTATTAACTTGTTACAATATTTTTTATGTAAATTCATGCTTTAATACATTAGTGGATTCAGAAGAAAAGATGATGAATTTGATTAACATGTAATCATGGATTTATCTATTGGCGAGCAGGAAACAGGAAAAACAGAGGGGATGTAGAGAACCCAAGGGACTTGCGTACAAAGGAAATTTTTCCGCAGAACTATTTTACCTGTTGTGAGTTTCTGGCTTTTGTCTGCGTATTTTTATCTCGCATTACAGGATTTGGTATGTGATCATGTGCGTTCAAGTTTAATTCATTGATCTGTTATATATACAAAAGTAATTCCTCCAATACTTGAGTCACCACATTAATTGAAGCTAATTGTTTTCACGCGAATCTAATTGTCATCAGCAAAGACATATTATGGCTTAAAGGATGCGAAACGAAAGCATACATGGAGCGTTCAGACTTCAGATATTGAATGAACTCATGAAAAGGCCTCTTAAGGCATACATTAGCGGAGGAGGAAACCCTGGATACCTGGATTTCTTAGAATTTGATGGTGAGTATACTCATCAAGAGATACCTGATAAGAAAACTCAAGATCAGAATGGTACTTAATTCTCACATTGTTCAAATTAAAACCAGTCCATCTAGGATCCAGCTCATCCACCCATCCCAATTAGATTCGGAGTGTCTAAACTTAATTTGGATGATTCAAATTTAAAGTTTTACTTTTATTTTATATTTATCAAAATAAAAATTATATAAAAAAATAAGTTTTTCCAATAAATTTGTTTATAATTAATTTGGACAGTCCAATTTAATATTAAAAAATTTATATTTTTTATAAATTGACTATTTACATATTTTCTAAATAGTCCAAATTTAATATTAAGTTTTTTTATAGTTTTTATAAGTTTTTACTTTGGTAAATACAATATTAAAAATAAAGATAATATCCTAATTGGAACATTCCAAATATACATTTTTAAAAAATTACAAGTTAAAATTTTAAATTTGAACCGTTCAGAATAAATATAGATAGTTGATTTATAAATTTTTATGAAAAAATTAATATTAAATTTAAACTATTCAAATTAAATCTAGACTATCTAAATTTATGATAAATAATAATCAAGTAAATTTATTATAATTTTTTATAAATATAAAATAAAAATAAAAATAAAAAGTTTAAAATCTAGAGGACGATCCAGATGTCATTAGAGTTGACAAGCATCATAGTTAAACCCATGCATCTTGTAGCCTATTGACTTGTAAGCTTTCTTACAAGTGAAATGTTGTGAGACTCAACCGTTAGTAGCTGTTCGACTGTTCCTCTAAATTAAAACCTGTACCATATGCATACCATGTATTAGACTTAAAGTGATGATACATTGATACTCCATATATCAGAGAAAGGAGCTATTGATCCAGCCTTCCTAGAGGCAGCTAAGGGTCCAATTGAAGCAGCGGCGAAAATTGTGAGCAAAAACATATTGCTAGCAGCAATTAAGAACAAGTAACCTGATTAGGAAGAAGCAATGGCCAAGCCATGTTAGGGTATGCCCCTCGTATGGAGAAAATTATTTAAGTAGCATGGAAAATTTACAATTTGGCATTCCTTAATTTTATTATTTTGAACCCCATAAACTCAGTAAAAAAAATATTTGGATTTAAACTTAAACTTTATATCAACCTTTTTAATATATTTTTAGCCAAAAAACTTCAATATATTTTTTCCCCAATAAAAATATGTATGATTTTACTTATGATATTTTTTTTTGCTTAATGTAAATATTTTTAAATGATATAATAATTTTTAATATTAATTTTTAAATTATATTGTCCTATACCTCTTGATTCAGTGTTCTGGGTCCGCCCATGGAAAGAAGAAACACTTTGAGACAGTCTTGCAGATGGCAGCTAAGAATGGTGTGCTTGAAGTAGTGCAGAAAATTCTGAGCAAATTACCAGTATCCATCCACGATGCCTCATTATATTGCTAGTAGCAGTTGAGAACAGGCAACCTGAAATTGCTGAAGCATTGTGCAAATACCTGACCCAAGGAGCAATGCCAAATAAGACTAATCTCTGGCATGACCTCGTTCAATCACTGGATTCTTCTCAAAACACAATATTGCACTTAGCAGCCAAGTATGACAAATCCATGCCCCATCATCCTTGGAAGATTTATGGCTCTGCCATGGTGATGCAGTGGGAAATAAAGTGGTACGATGTAATTAATTAAATATTTATTCATGAACTGTCAGAATGTGGATATGGCCATAATGTCTAAAATCCAGAAATTCAACCCGGCCTAGGATTTTGAGCATTAAAGGGTAGGGATTAGGGACTCCAAATCCAGAAATTTTTGTGTTACTCCATTTGAAACTCGAAAATAGGATTGGCCTAATTGCATAAATATCCGATCATTATTTATTTCTGGTCTCCCTCGTTCCTAAAATGAGCAATAGTATACATCATCACTATTATCTAACTGTGTGACCTTTGATGATGGAATTTGCATTGCAGTATGTCAAATCATTGACGCCACCAGACCTCGTTGTCCTTACCAACCGATAAGGCCAGACTCCGGAAGAAATCTTCACTCGAGATCATGACGAACTTGTCAAAGACAGCGGCCAATGGCATAAGGAGACATCTGAATCTTGCTCGGTGGTGGCTGCGCTGGTTGCTGGAGTTTCCTTCGCGACGTCGAGCCAAGTCCCCGGTGGGAATGACGAAGAGACCGGCAAACCGAAATTAGAAGGAAAGCCTACGTTTGAACTTTTCGCAATCACTTCACTTATGGGCTCTGCCTTCCCTGTCACTGCACTGATCATGTTCTTCACCATACTCACATCTCGAAAACAACCCAGAGACTTCAAGAGAAGTTTGCCGATGAAGCTTCTGCTGGGCTTAAGCTCGCTGTTTGTGTCCATCTCCTCAATGCTCATCGCTTTCTGTGCCGGATATTTCTTCCTAATTGATGAAGATTTTAAGAAAGGAGTGTTCCCTCTTTATGCTGTCACTTGCCTTCCTGCTTCCTATTATGCAATCGCACAGTTTGGGCTCTACCTGGATCTTTTGAAAGCCATTGTTATCAAGGTTCCCAAATTACACCTCTAGTTTTCATCTTTCATACTCCCCCCCCCCCCTTTTTGAGTGCCATGAGATTTTGTTGGGAGAAAAAACAGAGATGAAGTAATTTCTTGCTTTTCTCTGTATGGATTGGAAAAGTAGCAGTGTTATTTGTGCTTGTTTGTTCATGGAGGGAATTCATGACCCTCCCTAGTTGACCCCCCCCCCCCTTTTAAATGAGTGAAAGTCCCTAGTTGGTTCTATTGATGTGTGTGAAATCAGTTTGAGAATAAATTTATGTGTTGTTTTATATTGCTCCTCCCTCAAAGTTTATAAAATATTTTTGAACGTGATTTAGTTTTTTGATTAAAATTTTTTGTTAATGATAATTATTACAATAATATTTTTCATTATTTTACTTCCCTCATAAATTTCTCTCTCTTATTAATAAATAGTATTTTGAATTTTTATAAAAAAATTAAGATAGTAAACTATATCAAATGAATTTAAAAAAAATACTTGTGAATTTAAGAAATATTACTTTCAAATGAATGTAAAGTTGTTGGTAAACAAATAAATGATCTCATAAATTTATATCTAGTTGTTTAGAAATTTAAATGATAGTTACTTGTGAATTTTAGAAACTTATGAGTTTATAAAAAATTAATCGTACATGAATATTAAAAAACAGGAGGTGATCCCAAAATCATATATTTTCTTAAATTTGATTGGTAAGAAATTTTCCTAAAAGTCATGATTAATTAAATATTTCCTTTTTTTTATTATTAGAGAAACTATAACTTTTTACGCGCATTTCTTCCTAATTGATGAAGATTTTAAGAAAGGAGTGTTCCCTCTTCATGCTGCCACTTGCCTTCCTGCTTCCTATCATGCAATCGCACAGTTTCCACTCTACTGGGATCTTTTCAAAGCCTTTGTTATGAAGGTTCCCAAATCACCCCTTTAATTTTCACCTTTCATATCTCTTTTTCCTCATCGATTGGTAAAGTGGTTGTGTTATTGGTGCTTGTTTGTTCATCCAGGGAGTTCATGGCCCTGTCTGGTTCATTCTATTGAATATTAATGTATGTGACCCTCGTTGTTTTTGAATCAGATTAAGAAATAATTTATGTACTGTTTTTAACTTTTATGCTATTAGAAATGATTTGGTATCACGTTTTGACAATTAATGATGATTATTTCAAAATTATTTTTTTATTTTACTCTTTAAATCAATTTATTTCTTATTCTCTTTTTTTTAATTAATGAAATGTATTTTAAAAGTTTATAAAAAAAGACTGTAAATTATATTTAATGAATTTCATTTTAATATATATAATTTTGTTAAAAAAATATCTTATAAATTATTAGAGAAGGAGAGCTTTGCAAAAGTCGGATGTAGTGGGTTCATTTCTAATGAGTATTTATAATTATTCAGACAAAATTTAATGTATGTATTATAATATTATTTTAACTACTTTTTAAATGAAAAAGTTACGCACTCAGGCAAGGACATTTATTGGTCAATTTGCTATGTAAAAAATATCATTTGCTTTGTTCTAGAAAAATTTGCAAATTCATATGATCATCAAACAGATATATTTTCCCTCAGTTTTAAGTTAAAATTTAGCTTTGGTAATTGGCACAAATATATTCACTTTTTCATAGCTGAATTGTGTAATTATGTATAACTAATCAAATTTCAAATATTCAAAACATGTGGTAATTTTCAAGAAAAATAATGATTACAGACTTTGTGTAGGTATCAGTAACAATTAAAAACTTCAAATTGTTAAAATTTTATAGAAAGACCATAATCTTCATTTATAATTAAAAATCAATGAAATAATTATTAAAATAATCTGTGAAAATCATCCATAACTTAAAGAAAAATAATTGTGAATTATTGAATTAATATAAAATTTTGTCATTTATAAATTTAATAATATTCACAAGTAAATTTTAGGATAATCAATTATAAATTTATGAAGAATCAATTATGAATAAATATTCGAAATAATAAATGGTCCCTAAATCATAGACTCCATTAATAAGTAACTTATAACTTTTTTTTTTGTTTTTCTTCTTTTCATTGTTAAATTTTCATAGCCAAGGAAAAATACAGATTAATACGGAAATGGCGAGGTTTTGGGTCCTTTTATCCGAACGACGTCTTTCCCTCGCTCAACTAAGATGGAATAGCCCTGCTCATGCCAGCAAACCAGTGGAGGCCAATCCATCATGTCTGTTTTCAAGTCCTTCACTTCAAACTCCACTGCTCTCAAGTCAAGCGAAGCCACCATGGCCCTCTTCATGAAATCCTCTCCTCACAGGGTACATCCCTTTCTATCTATCCTGAACTCAATTAGCTCTTATTTTGTGATTAATAAATCCTTAGGAATAGATGGCGAAGTTGTGTATGCGGCTGAAGGGATAAGGTTTGAGTTAAATTCTGAGTCTTCATGTTGAAAAAATTCCTCAGTTTCTCAGTAGTAAAGCGGAGCATTGTGTTTTTGGGCTATGCTAATGCGCTCAATTGATATTACTAAGAAATTTAAGTTCCTTTATATCTTTGATTAGCATTCCTCTGTTAAACCCATTTCTTCATGTATTAAGTTTTTTGATTTTGGGAGGTAAAGGGAGTTTATGCTTTGATTTGATTTCGTCTGATCATGCGCCGGTGCTACAACATAAATGAAATTGGTTTAGTTGGTTGATCACGCATTGGGAGTGCTGGATGGGCTTCGGTGGGTAGATTTTTAACGGGGTGGTTGAAATGGCATTGCCTTTCCTTGGTATAAGCCTTATTATCAGTATTATTTTACCACATAATACTTCGATTCATTTCTCCAAATTGACCACCGAAGTAGGACGTTTCAGCTCTTCTAGTCCTGGGATATGGTTCTTTTTTTAATTGTACTTTTGGGTTTTTTGGTCCGCTATGACAGAAGAAGTAGGAAAGTCTGGTATTTAACAACATATTCATCATTTTATGCTCGCCTGCATTTTCTTTCCTTCATCTTCCTCTGTTCTGATAGTTATGTAAAATACGTCCCGCTTATAAATTCATGGATGTCTGGGCTCACGTGGCTTTCTAAAGTTTGTTATTACACTTTTGCTTTATATCTAATGGTTTGGCTTTATGGGATTTTTAACTGTGTCTCCTCCTCCTTCTCATCAAACTTGAAAAGAAAATAGTACTATTGTACTCCCGATTGATTTGCTGTTTAATATGTGCTTAGGTTTTCTTGCGAACATCCTATACAGCATCCAGGAAAACCAATTCTATTGGCTTGTTTTATTCACATGGAATCTCATCAGTTAAAGTAATATCGGTCCTGAACATGTCAAACTACTGTACTCATTCAGCAGACCAGTTCTCTTCTTCAAAGCGAAGAGCTCAAGGACCTGTTATGGCAGGAAAGAAAGATGCTGAAGGTAGCATGTTTGCTATTTCATAGTAGATTTATGTTATCTTCTTTTTTTTTTGGCTATATGCTTTGTTACAATACTCGTGTGAATTTCAGGGACTAAGCAAGAAGATAGTAAATACAAGCACACTGTTGATCTTCCAAAGACGGCATTTGGTATGAGAGCAAATTCTTCAATAAGGGAGCCTGAAATTCAGAAAATATGGGAGGACAATCAAGTATTTAAAAGAGTTGTTGACAAAAATAATGGGGTAGGTTGTAGAGTTTTTCTAAGCTACACTTCTATTTATGCAAATTTCTTGACCTATTTCAAACAACTTGTTCAGGAGAGTTTCATTCTTCATGATGGTCCTCCATATGCTAACGGTGACCTTCATATTGGCCATGCATTAAACAAAATTTTGAAGGATATTATAAACCGTTATAAGGTATTTCCCCCTTCCTTTGTACTTAGACTTCCTGTTTGTTTTTATATTTAATCTGAATCATATATATTTGAAAGTCTATGAAAGACATGAATGCTTTACAATATATGTTACTTGCTAATGCACTTGCATGTAAGCACTAATCTTCTGTTAAGACTTATATTTCCTTTTTATTTTCAGATTCTTCAGAACTATAAAGTTCGTTTTGTGCCTGGATGGGATTGCCATGGCCTACCTATTGAATTAAAAGGCAGGTTATTTTTTCATTTGTTCCCTTAGTACTGCCATAGTGCCATGTTTGCTATGACATGTTCAATAATAGTATGATTTTTATGAGTTATTACAGTTTTGCAATCGCTGGATAAGGAAGCTAGAAATGACCTCACACCATTAAAGTTGAGAGCTAAGGCAGCTAAATTTGCCAAGGACACCGTTAAAAATCAGATGTCATCTTTTAAGGTTCATCTTTGTTTTGCAAATGGTGTTGTGATTTCATGTGTCAAGTGCCAATATATTGCTTTTGTTCCTTAATTACAACCTTATAATTGAAATATCTCACCAAATTTTGCTTTTAATTGCTGGAAAATTTTGGAATGCTTGCAGCGCTATGGAGTTTGGGCAGACTGGAATAGTCCTTATCTTACTCTGGATCCAGAGTATGAAGCTGCCCAGGTAGCTGGTACACCCTATTTCATTAACCTTAGAAATGCTTAAATTTAAATATAAAGTTAAGCACTTGGGACACCCCATTTATTTAGTATAATGTTTATGAAAGTTAATATAGAATAACTCGTGGAATAACTATTCTTTCACATGTATGACTTTTAACTTTAATGAAGTGGTTTGACCATTAAGCAAGAGCCAGCCAATAATTAGTGCAGATAGCCAGATTGCCAGACTATTGAACTTTAGGTATGTAATTTTTCTTGGGTGCTTGATTTCATAATTCATATCCTATAATATGCTAGATCGAGGTATTTGGCCAGATGGCCTTGAAAGGCTATATCTACAGAGGCAGAAAACCTGTTCACTGGAGCCCCTCATCAAGGACGGCACTAGCTGAGGCTGAGCTGGAGGTAAATTAATCCTTTATTCTTTTTTCATTATTTTAATTTTTCTTTTATAGATCATAAAGGCCAAAGATGTCATGCCCTACAATGTTGGATTTTCTTATCTCTTTATCATGTTAAAA